AATCGCCATGAAGTATATAAATTCTTGGCCAGTCTCAAATTTGGAATTCGGAATGCAATTAAACATGTCCGTCTGGTCGTCTCTTCATCTGTCTGTCTGCGCAACTGTGCAGTCATTGTGGTACACATTCTCTCCTTAGCCAAAATGAAGATATCATCTACATATTTCCAAAAGAATTGTGAAATGAGTTAAACGTTTCCAAGGACAAAATTCTAGGATAACCAATTATTAAATGCTAACCAATAATATAATTAATACACCAGTCAATGCGTGCCGAGACTAAGTAAGAATTTTCTTTTGCAAAGTTGAATATCATTCATGAAAATAGTCCCATTCAGGGGACATATGATCGGTGCAACGCTTCTGTAATATTTCAATGCTTTTTTGCACATTACACTGCTTGTGGTGCAGGGCCTATTAACTTTGGGCGAATGCATGTAATGCGCAGAAAGATTTGAAATAGTCAAGCCATTTATTATACCGAGCGACTCAGAATAATTTTGCTGATTTGATCTGAGAATATGTATTCGTCTGTTCGTTAGTTCGCCTGACGTCGGTCCATACTCGTTTATGTTCACCACTTGTACGTCGCAATTTTTAAAATATTTGATCGAAATTTTCTGCACTGACGCTTTTTGGCCCAAAAGAAGAACCCTATAGAAATGAGCTTGGATTGAACGACCTTTACTAGCACTTCCCATAGAACGTATTATTATATAAAATTCGTCATGAGAAAATGGAGGCTAATTTACAAAATTCCTCGCCACAAAGCTCAATGTGATAGCAACTTGGTGATTAAAATTGATGAGAAAAATTGTGATCGAAACCGGCTAGTTTTTTGAATCCGAGCCCATAAAGACGTTCTTACGCGATGTAAGAAAGAGTCTATTTATTAATTACCTGTAATGAAACTTGTTCGATAATAGTAATATGACATAAAAAAATTAAGCATAGGAAATTTGGACGGCCTATGTCAATTTTTTAGACACTACCATATAAGGTTTCCTGTCAAAAATGAGCCTTTTTGTGGCGAAAAATAATAGTAAATAAAGTGCGGCTATTTATAACGACGGTGGTTAAGGAATTAATAAAACCTTTGATAAGACAACTAAATTTGGTCCACGACGACCTCCGTTTTGCGCACATGCCAATGTAAGGACTTGCATGAAAAGCATGCGTTTACATGGAAACAAAGCATAGTTGCGGGTGTATTATCAGGAAAATGAAGAGAAATGAAAGTGTTGGGCGAAGTGATGCAGCGTATTTAATGCTCGACTTTGCGCGTCTGTTATGTTCTCATTTGTTTACGTGGAACAGTTTATTAAGATCAGCAATGATTTCATTAAAACAACTTATAGTCTAACTGCGTTTGCATATACATTCATTTTATATTCAACAAAGCCTTCGACTGTTTTTATGATTGCTAAAAATGCGAAATCATCAATCGCCGTTATTTTATCCATTGCACACAGCGAAGGTTTCATGTACTATCTTATCATTGCACTGCACCGAGTGCTGCCAACGTAGACGTCGAATCGTCTCGTTTTCTATATGTTTTAGTTTTCATATTATTTATGTCATCTCAAAATAAGTTTTTTTCTTTTCTTTCTTTATGAGAATCACAGTCACTTTAATATTTAACTAATAAGTTCCATAATAAAAAGTATTGAAATAAACTTTTAGCTTATATCATAAAAGTGTTCACTTATATATATAAATTTTTTTTTTTATTATTATAGTTATAAAACGTTTTAAAGCAATTGAGAGCAAGAGAGCTTGCAAGATTTAAATGATGTCAGTGAGATTCGCTGCAATTTGTGTTATATGTATCTTTTAAAGCAAGAGCACTATCACGTCTTTGCGTTGAGCTATAGCGAAAATAAGGCTCATTCACTACGCCAAGTTTGGAGCATATGCCGTAAAACCATTATTTGATCAGATATGAGGCTACAACCGAACTGTGCATGTGATCGTCATATGCCGATTAGAAGCAATTATTTTTTCGATTCGAACAAGAGCAGAGGGGCATGAGTGCAATGCAAGCGTCTTTTATGAGACTTCGTCTCTGTAAATAGCAGAAAGACGTTCACGCTATAGTGTTGAAGTGCATTAATCGTCTACGACGAATAAGCATGATTATCATCACAGTTAGAGAGAGAGAGAGAGAGAGAGAGAGAGAGAGAGAGAGAGAGAGAGAGAGAGAAAACGGAATAGAGAAAGAGTTAAACATAAAGATAGCGTAAAGCGTAAACGCTCATGCCAGTGATTGCCCTGCCAGTGATTTTCCGCAAACTGGTTTCGACATAAACCTTTACCCACTTAAAATTCTCGGCGGACATGACACTTGGCATTTTACGAATTCCTATCGTCTTTCTGAGCTCTCGGAACGGGGGAAGCCAAATCTTTTTTTTGTTTTGTTTTTATTATTCCATTAAAAAAAAAAAAAAAATCTATACATCTCCAAACTCACTGTTGAAACAGCTGGAACTTTCACATCATTTCAGGTATGTTCGATCTTCAACCCAAATGTGAACCGACGAAAACAGCTGCGAATAGCATCTGTCGAAGATTTTGCACAGCCTCACCCATCGATGCCATATTTAATGTAAAAATATTAATAAATTTAGTAAATCGCTGCAAAATGTAGTTTTAAGCCTAGTTACGAGCACTTCTTGTTATTTTAACCAAATTTCAATAATTTTCCTTCAATGAGTTAAATGTTTTGATAGTCCCTGGTGCTTTAATTTGTAGTAAATTTGCATCGCTATGTACGCGCCTCAGTACGTTTGTTTACACTATTTATCAATACACATGTGCGTGCGTAGAGCATAATAAACAGCCGGCTTATCAATTGAATTAGATTCTGTTTAAGTTCCTTAATCAAATTGTTACTAATTGCTCGCAGATGTACTTGAATAGCAGCTAAAAGAGACCGACATGAATGGAATAGTGTTCGGGGGAGGAAGAGGAGAGGTAAGAGAAAAAGCTCGTATTCTCTATTAAGTGATTACAATAGGAAAATGAATTAATTTTATAATTGATTAAATGAATTGTAATTGTAGAGTGAAACCAATGATTAAATTGATCGAAGAAAGTCCATTAATCGAATTTTGCATTTTTAATAGATTTTATTCACTATAAATTTGCTATACAGTAAAAGCTACTTATTCGCGCTTCCTTTGTTTGCGGTTTCACTATTCGTGGATGAAAAAAAATGCGACTCAATTCCCATATTCGCGGCTATAAATTTCTTTATTCGTGGATTTTTTGTGACTGGTTCCGAAATTGCTTTGTTTCTGAAGTTGAAACTTATTAAAAAAAAAACACCATTTTTGACTATAAAGCACCTCTAGTTTTGGACAATGCACCAGGTCCGCGTCGCGAGCTTGCAACTATGCATCCAAACATTAAAGTGAAATTTTTACCTCCCAACACGACGGCTTTGCTTCAACCTCTCGGCCGAAGAATAATCCAGGCCTTTAAGCTCTATTACATAAGACGAACCTTCAAAATCACATTGAATAATATGGAATGTAATCCTGATATGAATATTATGGAATGCAGGAAGAAATTTGACATAGCAAAATGCATCGTAAACATAAAAGAATCATTGGAAGAACTGAAGCCACACACATTGAGGTAATGCTGGAAAAAACTGTGGCCTGCTCTGACTGCGGAAAATGACGAACCATGTGTGCAAGTTCAAACTTTGACTGCAAACATAGCCGGAATCGCGAATAGAATAGGACGAGAGGGGTTCGAACAGATGGAATCAAGTGACATTCAGGAATTGCTTGAATCGCAAGATGAAGATTTGACTGAAACCGACTTAAAGGAAATGTTAAATTCACAGCCCATTGAAGAGGAGGCTTCAACAAACACTGGAAACGTGACATTTAATTTGAAAAGTCTTAGTGAAGGTTTAAGAATGGCAAATGAACTTGGCGATTTCTTTATGAACATTGATCCGTCTATGGAAAGAAGTCTTATTTTTAAGAGGCAAATTGCTAATGCCACGGCTGCGTATCAGTTTGAATTGAAAGAGCTTTTAAAAACTGCCAAGCACATCGATTCAGAAATAGATTCATGGAACATGATAAAAAGTGAATTGAACTCAAGTCGTAGAAAAAAAAAAATTCAAAAGACTTTTTGAAACATTTCCCATTGCTTCACTCACAAAACAGAAATGTAGCCACACCTATGCCACGCTATCGAATAACATTCCCGATTACTTCGGACTTTTCTCTTGCAGACAAATCCATAGAGTTTCTCCCATTCATCATTTGGGCGTGGTATTGTTGACATAGACAAGACAGCAAACGATTGCTGCTCGCATGCAAGACTTCGTATGATATATATTCGATAATAATTCGATATTTCTCGAGAGTTTCCTCACCTCAAAGCAGGTAAGCAATAGGTGGTAACAAATTCGATTTAAGCCGCCCGTAATTTGTTTCTTGTTTTCGTTTGTTAAAAGAGAGTTTGTTATAAGCGAAAGTTTTGAAAGTGTATCTCATTGTTTCCGCTTATTTTGTTGGTAGTGTAGGTTCGCAGCTTATCTCCTATTATGCAAAGCTAATATTATTAATATTGCTTTCATTTTTGTTATCTCCGAAACAAGACGACGACATATTCATACCGCTAAGCTATTGGTAATGACTCAGTAAGCTTTGAAAAAAAAAAAATTAAAATAAATGAATAAATAAAAACAAACAACTCTTCGAAGTATAAAAAATGGACCCTAGAATGGGTAAATCTTGTCATTTGCGAGTTTCATACCGCTATCTTAATGCTTAAATGCATATTGTTGCCAATTGCCTACATTCTAGTTCGACTGAATTTTAAAACTAATTTTAAAAATATCGACCATTGGCAGAAATATGTATTTAAGGGCTAAGTTAGAGAAGCATTTCTCAACGCAAACAGTGAAAGGGTTTCAGAAATTCTACCAGAACGATGGTGCGGCGTTTATTTTTAAGATTTCGAACAATATCTGGAATGTCTGCTTAAACAGATAAGAATCGCAAACGCCAATAACAGTATGTGGAGAGCAACACCCATTAGCAGTTCAACGTATCTACGTGTGATTGTAGCGTCTGCTAGATTTTCATTTAAAATTCATTTAAAAAATGTCGAAAATGTGCTTAATGAAAATTATACTTAATTTAATCATTCTGGGCATTTTACTCGGCATTGTGTTCAATTACGATAAGTTATGGGGACCGCCTACGCAACGTGGATTTTTTTGTGAGGACAACACCTTGCGATATCCTTATCATCCAAGCACAATATCAACTAATGTAATGTACATCATTGGCTTATATGCACCTTTGATTGTTTTAATGCTATGGATATTCTTAAAGCATTTGCGTGAAGGTAAAAAACGACTAAAATGGTCGAAATTTTTGCTTGAGTTATATACAACAGAAGTGTGGTTTCTGTTTGGCTTTACTATTGAGCATTTATTTAAAAATGTGGGTAAATATGCTATAGGTCGTTTAAGGCCACACTTCATTACATTGTGCCAACCTCAGCTGGCAGATGGTTCATCGTGTGCCGATCCTAAAAATGTAGGCATTTTCGTTCAAGTCTATACATGCAAAAATACAGCTAATTATGTTACCGCAGAATTGTTGAACTATGCTCACTTTTCCTTTCCTAGCGGCCACTCAAGCTTAGCCTTTTATTCTATGGTCTATTTGGTGTTATACATACAACAACAGAAACAACTACAATCGCATCAATGCTTTGTACGACAACAGTCGAAAGCGGCAGTATTTGACCTCATTTTGCCAACGGTGCAATTAGTTTGTTTGCTGTTGGCCTGGTTTATTGCCTTGAGTCGTGTATTTGATTACAAACATCATTGGTCGGATTGTTTAGCGGGTGCCCTGTTGGGCTCGAGTGTTGCTGCCGCCATCTCTTATTGTTGCCGCAAACAACATATAAAGAAAAGTGTTGACGTCTTACCACTTTTGGAGAGTAATGTAAATCAAACGCAAAGCAACACTATGTCAAGCCACATGGGTGCCGTATAAACCTTCAAGGCTGCATTAAGTTTGTGCCGCTATAAACTACGTTCATCTTAAAAAAGCATAAAACCACGTTACTCTACGCGGGCGATACATGCAATAAGTAAACTGAAAGAGAATAAAATAAATTTCGAACTTATAGAAAAGGGTTTTCAACATTTTTCTTTCTTTCTCTTTGTTTGTTTAATTGAAAAACTGAGTGAATTGGATAAATCAAAGGTGTGCAAGAGATAGAAGGCAAAAAATTCATGAGTTGCACTAAAAAAAAATTCGAAAATTGAAATGTTCAACGTCACACGCCATCCATCTATGAAAGATGGCCGACTTGAGCTTATGACCAAGTTTGTGGCGATTATTGCAAACACTTCAAGCATAAACTATCTTTAATCAAATTAAATGTTATGAAATTTTTTAATGTTGCGTATTACCGCTATACTCTATATATATATATGTATATGTGTGTACAGAAATGAAGCAAAAAATAAATTTGTTATTAAAAATATTTTTACAGTTTCTCGACATATTCCCCGCTTATGATTGATATACTTTTGTAGACGTCCGAACCATTTGTCATAGCATGTTTTCCATTTGGTTTGACACATCTACGAAACATGGTTTTTAAACGCATCAACGATTTCCGCTGGCGCCAAAAATCGCTGTCCATGCTCATACCATTTATTCTTGACGTTCGCTCCCAAAAAGAAATCATTAAGTACGAAAGGAGTGCACTACGGCAGATGACCGATTAATGCGAATTTTTGATTGTTTAAATAATCGGCTGTTTGAAGAGGTGTGCAAGGGTTTACATTGTTATGACGAAGAATGGTCCCAACGCGTTTGTGTCGCCAAAGACGTAATTTTAAAGTCAGTATAAATGGAAAAAATGTCGCGTAAATGACAAGATGTTCTCACGATGGCTATAGTCAAAGTCCAATGGGTACGTCAAATATGTATATATATATACCTCTATGTGCACATGCATAACTTTATACGTATAATTATATGTGTATCCAAAACCATGTATTTGTCATGTCGGCACAGTACGATTCTTAATCGATTGTTTGCCTATTTATCTAATTTTTTTTTTTTTTTTTTTTTTCTTTTTCATATATCACAATGTAGCTGCATGCTGTCTCTTCAGCCCGATCGCGCTATCCCTTCTTGGCCAAACTTAGTATAGATGAAAAAGAAAAAAAAAAAAAAAAACAAAAACCACAAAGTTGTCTTACGAGGCTTTAGTCATCTCCTATTAGTCATCTCGCTTAGCATGCTTCCTCATATCTTGGATGTTTTGTGCGTCAATAACGATTAAAAAATCATGGATTCTCATTTAGTTCAGAGTTGAACTAATTTGTTGCTTTTCTAATTTCATAATTTAGAGTATTTATGCTCTAATGAAGTCACATATCCCAGTGAGGCAGAACCGCAAAAAACTAGGCAACAAAACTTTTCTATCTATCCACATATCATATCATATCATATATTTACGTAAACTTATATCGACGACACATGTTTCATGTTTCTAATTAACCACCTAATTAGGTCATGTATGTACGTATTGAGCTCTTTTATTTGAGAAACTTGTTAAATACACACCAACAGACATTTATGTTTATTTTCTCCAACAAGTTTTTCATTAACAAATTATCAGCTCTGGGACCGTATTATTGTCATCGGTTAAACACAATATATATATATATATATATATATATATATATATATATCACAAATATATTTATATAAATATATAAAAAAAAAAAAAAAAAAAGAGCGCAGCTTGTGATGGAGATAGTACTTGGGTGCCTATTTGCATGCACGCTCGATTTGAGCGTGTCGTTGTCCAGTCAAAACAAATTGTCTAATTAATGTTGAAATACACTTAATGTGCATTCGGAAAACTGTAGGTGGCATATATAAATATTTTATACATCGTATGCAAGTTATTAAAGACATAATATATAAAGATTGTGACACTTGGTAGATATTAGTTGCGAGCTATTTACGAAGACAGTCCACACAGCGAATGAATTCCGTTTAATTTATTTAAAATGAAATTATTTTAAAAGCGATTCGTGTTTACTAGGTTGTGAATTAAAAAAAAAAAAAAAAAAAACAAAAATGAAAATATTGTGATAATAATAACAATAACAGTATGCGGTACGATACCTGAAATATAAGGTTCAAGCACATGTGTCGTAAAGCATTTGTTCAACGTACCTGAAACGAAACGACGATAAAAACATTATTAATAGCAAAAATATTTAAAATAAAAATTAAAATAGTAGTGTATAAACTTGATGTTTGACCTAAATAAAAAAAGAAAAATCACTTAAGTTTCTCATCAAGTTTCCAATAACTATTTTCCTTATTAAGGATCTTTTCAATCGAATTTTCGCGCGTAGCGAATGCGATCGTCTTGCCTGGGGTATACAATATTTTTAGCCGGCAAGCAAGGCTGGATAGTCGTCCCCACAAATGCATAAGAGTCCGGCTCTTGCTAACTTGATAAGACGAGGCAAATGTTGCTGCTTAACGAAATCACTGAGGTGAAATGGTTTTCATCGTTGAAAATAGATTTACAACAGGTGCTGTTCTCTGTCTTGAATACGCGGAAACGTAATCGATAAATGCAGCGCATGCGCTTGCTACAAGTATCAAGAGTTTCTTGTATTCTATCAGTGGCATCATGAAGACATCGGTTCGAATTTCTTCGCCAGATCTTCGATTGTTATAGTCTGAATGTCATTAGAGTAACTCCTCCGTAACTGCTCGGTAATCGATCGGAATTTCTACTCAATACTGATTAAGTAACAGAGGTCAATAAATTGAAGATTTAAAAGGGGATATAAAGAAGTTACTCCCTCCTAATCGGAGGGAAGGCACACAAAAGTATTGTTGCTTTGTAAAATTTGATTGATCCATTATTACGATGCGTTTTAAGGCCGACACCGATAACGTAAGCGTACTTGCATTATTCGTTATGGTGCTTTGTAATTTGTTTTTGCTAATTACTTAAGTGATTGTAGTTTTTTAAAAGAACGTTAAGAGAACGCTTACTGTTATCATGTAGTGTAATAGCGTTCGAATCGTACCTACATTTGTTAAGTCTTCCACTTCATTGCGTATCGCAAAGTTCACCTTTTCGAGCTCGCTTTTAACTGGTAAAGTAATTTCTCGCAAAAATTACTTAAGGCAGGTTTAGGTGGCTGAAGCATGCTTGCATTCTAACTAAACAAACTTTCGTTGTTCCCGAAATTAATTATTTCTCGAAAATTTATATACACTTTGAAGTTGAAGCATAATATGTGCAAACTTCGTGCATTTTTGATTTGTCCTCCGAGACAGATGTCAATGTGCAGCTAGAACACATCCAGAGAGTAGAAGAGAAAGATTAGTGTTTTGAGTGACCTGTCACAACCTCAATCTTTTAGGTTTTATTGATCAATCATTACAGCCTCTTTAAGTGAAGACCGCTTATCTGGAATAATCTGACATGCAAGTGCATGTTGATATGATAGGATTTCTTACAAGTGTTGTAACGGCTTTATGAGCTTAATTACTGGATTATCATTTAATCTTGAAAGTGTACGAAATTTACAAAATACTTCAACTTTGTATTGGGTTGTTCGAAAAGTCATTTAACTTTATTGTTGTAGGAGAAGTTAGGAGGCATGTTCCCACAGCGAAGTGCACTTTTAGGCCACATTCCCGCTACGTATTTCGACAGCTGATAAAGCGAGGATCGTTTACGAGAACAATGGTATTTGCTAGCGGCTCTGTCAAATATGGAAAGTTGCAAGCGGTCCTTTCCGCATATTTTACTTTTCTGCTATCGAAAAGGTGAAAATGCTATTCAACCAAAAATAAAAATATTGGCCGTGTATGCAGAGAATGTGCTGCCACAAAGCGAATGGCACAACTGGTTCACAAAATCTCGTTCCGTTTAAGATGCCTCACGACAAAACAAGGGCAAAAGGTCGCTAAGCAAGTGAATTTCTTGAATTCAAGCGTCCCCGATCATGTTGTATCCCTCGATCGTTTATTTTGAGCAAGAAAAAAAAAAGCAAAAAGAAATGAGATTCCGAACAACCCTATAGTTACGAGATAAATAAATTGAAATTACAATTGATATGATGAATAATGATCTGCAGATTGTGCCGGTAAATCAATCTCCATAAGCGACAAGATAATCAAGGTTTCGGTCAACTTTGATCGGCCTTTGACGACTATAATATATGGCACGGACGCAACTTGAGTGTTCAATAATTAAAGCGTTTCAAAATGATTTGCATGATTTTTTTCACTGTGGCCATCGATTTATGGATTGCGAAGACTTAATATTTCGATCAAGTCTGTTCGCCATTTGATGAAAACAAAGATTGATTGTAACCTGCATATTGAGCCATTAATTATTCCGAGGTGTAATTGTGAGCAAACTGATTAAAACACAATTCCGGTTATGTGCTAGAGTTCGACATTCCGCAATGTATGCCCATAATGGTATATGTGAAATTTTTAATCCTAATTAATCATATTTTTAGCATCGCTTCGCGGATATTTACACTAATTTCAACAAAGGCATTCATTGCTAATTGAAATCTTTGTTTCAATTTTCAAGTTCAAACCTTTATCAGTGTATAAAAAAATAAAAAAAAAAATAAAAAAAAAAAAAATTTCAATATTTCGCTTTAGGGGTGTGATAATAAGCGCAGTATATAACACTACCCTCTGCATATAAGTATAATAATTTCCTTTATACGTTTTTAGCACCTTTGCATACTCGAATGCGGATAAACGATTTATTTTATATTTTGCTTGTAATGCTTCGCCCTTTCGCTTTTCCCTTAACGCGTTAAACTGAGTTGCTGTTCTTTTTTTTTCGCCCTTCTCTCTTATTGGTTTCACCACATATTGGGTGGCTGGCTTTTCATAGCCAGAATAGCAGACACTTTTCCACTATCAGAGTAAATCCCCTTAACGACTACCGTTTATATACGTGTGAGAAGAGATAGCTTGAGGCAATTTTTTTGCAAAAAAACGAGACGAAAAAATTGTTATTTTTCGTTTTTTTAACAAAATATAATATTTACGCTCTATGGTAAAAATATTTGTGGCGTATTCTCAATGACTATTAAGTGCAGATAATGGTAATGATGAAAATTTTGAGAATACATTCGTACATATTGTTTCGTAAAGTGTTATTCAATCGCCAGCGCCATCATCATCAGTGCCAGCTTGATGAGC